CAGACTTAAGTCATTGAAAAGGCGCTATTTCGTTTTGAAAGATGGCTTTCTTTCTTTATACAGGACGCAAGTATGTTCCATTTTTTTAAAATTTTCCATAGGCGCTTGGAATCATTTTTCTTTAAGTATTATGATAACGGGAGCAAGAAAATGGGGTTTTTCGCAGCATCAAACGGTGGTGCTTTTTCCAGAAAAACCACGCAAAGAGCGAGGAGCCACTGATCAGAATTGCTGTTTCGGATATTCGTTCGGTTACGAAACTGGTGAACAAAATGGGCTACGGATTGCAGGTCATTATTTTGCATAATTTTGAACGGATTAGAAGCAAACCACTAAAAATGCGTGCAAAATAGCGAGTGTTGAGACCAGCAACGGTTATTTTTTGTATTCTAGAAACTAGGATAACCGTGATTTCGGGTTTCTTTCTTTTCGGGCCCTGCTTCTTGTATTCGGCTGAAATGATTTGGTTCAGATGCGAATGAATTGCAACAGTTTACAGATAACGACGGCCAACGGTCAGCACTGCTATGCTGCAGAAACGGTTCGTGCCACTGATGAATGGATTGCTGTTCTGACGCACAGTTTACGCGATGCAACAATTTCGGAAGTTAGCCAGCGTGCCACTTGTCTTAATACCGAAGTTAGCGGCCATGTGATAAAGGTAAGCATTGAAGGTGCGTACAGTCTGGAACGCAATCGAATTTTTGCTAGATTCTGATGTAGCAGCACCGGCAACGGCAGCAGCAACAGCATCACACTTCTCATATCGCAGTTCCGCGTACCCATAAGCGGATCAAGGACGAAGTCCTGGGAGAGGGGGGCAATGGGCGGGGAGAGGGCGAAGTGAGGTTTCTGGGAGCGGGAGGACGACAGAGGGGGAGGAGGGAGAGGAGAGTTTACTTTTGATTTAGCTTCAGACCCAAACTTTTGCAACACTGGTGCCTGTGTCGCTGGGAGCTCCCTCCCCGTCCCTTCCCTCTCGGATACGCCTGTTCATGTACCTCACTTTTTGCTCGAACAAAATCCGCTCAAATGCAGTGGCAGTTACACAGTATTGGTGAGGCATTCTGTTTCGCTGTTCCATTAGTTCAGGAAGATTATTGCAGGCGAAATGTGGCAACGCAAAACGTCTTTTTGCCTCGGTTGTGGAGGACAAGTTGCTGTTCTTCAGGAGTTCCGATGATCGGGTTCGCGCTGTTTTTTTCATGCCGTTTTAGCTAGAGCTGCAGCTGCTCATTGCCCTCCTTCCACCTTTGGTGACTTGTGAAGAAATTTTGAGACTACTCCGGAAAGATCATATTATTTCGTCCTATCAGTTCTCATTTCAGAATACCCTATTAAATTAGGATATATCTTTTCCGAGTTTCGTAGACTGCTGTCTTGTACTGTTTTTTTTTTTCTTTGTTTGCAGATCTAGTTACCTCTAATTTGAAAAACAGTCCACTGAAAATTTGTTTGTTTGCAGGTCCCGTGCTCACATATCTGTCTGAAGGGTGCACACATCTATGATAAGCTGAAAAATGCTGTTGACGAATCGGGTGGAAGTTCGGACGAGCAAGGTGAAAACAACTGCTCCCAAGAGTTCGAACATACAGTTTCCGTTGAGGTTTTCTTTCTTTTTTTTTGCGAACTCGCCGCACCACGATGCCTTCTTTATTATTCGAACAAGTGATGCATGATGCTTATCTGAGGCGCATTTAGATTGCAAACACTGATCCGGTGTACATTGTTTTGAGAAGCGCTGAAGAGAAAGATAAATGGATATATTTTTTGAAAAAAGCAGCCGGCGATGCGACAGCATTGGCCGGAACACCGTTCGAAGTGCTCGTGCAACGCATGATGACCGAAAATACTGCGGACGGTAAGCGGGCAAATGCCTCGTTTGCATTTCTGTTTTCTTTTTTAGAATTATGAAAAATTAGCTGTGGTAATGGTTTGGACAAGCACAGGCGCGCCGAGACAAAGTAATCCAGGGCTCGGAGCAAAGGGCTTTCATACGAGAGCTAGCTTCATTACAGCAGAATATCTTTGAATTCCACAAGGCATTGAGCAGCAGCAGCGGAGCACTATGTCACATCTCATTTCC